AATTCTAGGTGTTTACCCCAGCTTTAAGGATTCCGGAATATGGTCGCAACGATCAACCTCAACACTTTCAACAGTTAGTTCCTGCTCAGTCTCATCGCCTGATACTGGAGATGTTGCACCATCGAGCCCCTCTTCATCCGATGAGACACTTTTCCTTTTACTGGAGCTCTTGGAGTTGGATCCTCTGCTCGAAACAGATTTTTGTGGTGAATCAGCCCAAAATGCCGTTCGCAATTTACCTGGCAGAATCATGAGGCGAACTGCTGCTTACAGGCACCAAAATGCTGCTTCCATTCGCACCAACTGCCACTAGTTGTCCATCAACGAGCTGATATTCGCCTTCTGCTACCGACATTGCCGCTATTTGTCCGGTAGGTTCGCTTGTTGATTTCCAAATTCCCATTGATTTCAGCATCATTCTACAACATAGCAGATATATGGAAAACGGCGGCTAATCGTAGATTTTTGTGCAAAATTAACACAGGCGACTAAACCTAGCAAATTTATAAGTCGACGCATAAAGTGACCAAAAAGCTGTAACCATTTTCCATCGCCACCTTTCGGCTTTTGCTACGCGTTTTGGGAATTCTCATGCCCAAATGCTCAAAACCCCTGCGTTTAAATATTCAACTCGTTCAAAGCACAATAACAAAGACCGTCATTTTTCACCCTGTATAAACATGATTTTATAACGCGTCTAAACTTAATACATATTAGATTAAATACAATATTAAAATTTGTCATTTAATGTTCTGTGTGGAAATGATTTAATCGGTAAAATATGCCGTGAAATTACCTGTGGAAAAACACCGCCAAAAGCAAAGCCAAATCCCAATTTGCGTAGTTTTTCTGCCGCTGTATTCCGATGATGTTTGGGGGGAAAAACGGATTGTTTCCATATAAGTCCTCGTTCCATGGAATGATGTCCATTTGGAACAGGCATTTTATCAGGACAACCAACTGAAATTCCAATAAACCGTCCATGAAACACGCATAGTGAGTATAAGATAAACTAGAGAAGATAAAAAAATCAACTGCGATTTAAAATTGTTTCCTTCAGTCATATTAAAGAGGCTCAGTGGTAGTCAATGATTAAAATCAGCAATTAACAGTCTGCGTCTTTCGCATATTTTTTCCAGTTTTGCAAAGCTTCTGAAGGTTCGTCGCGGCAATTTATGATTAAAGAAAACTTTAAGTACTATTCAGACAGTCCAAGCAACTTACCTCAGTGTAGGCTATGATGGTAACCCAGAACGTTTTGGAGGGTCGCGGTATGGTGAGCGATCCCCAAAAGAACACCATTAAAGGTAAGGGCAACGATAGGAAAGTGGCCGTTTTGGCTTGATTGAGGAAAATTGCGAAATAGCACAACCATTCCGATCGGCTCATTATCACATACCAAATGGCGAGCAGAAGCCGAATTATCGGTGGCTGGTCATCGGAGGACATCTCTTCGCCAAAGTCCTTTTCGGAGCTGCTCGACTTCCTGAAAATCGTTTCTATTTTAATAGTCGCATTCGCATCGAGAGACAGAATACACCAATGCTTGCTGACAACATCAAGAAGTGCGAAGAAAATAAGGAAAACATTGAACAAGTGTATAATGTAAAAGAGACGACAGGCAATTTATGTTAAAAATTTACTTTTGCCACGATAATTTAGTAATTAGTGGCAATTGCAAGACACTTAAAAAGTGAAACTGGTGAGTTTTTCTCGCCACTCTCCAATGGAATGGTGTGGTAGTGCGCCACCAAATAGAAATGGAAAAAATGGATTGCAAAAACAGTTCGAAAATTGAAGCAGTTCAATTTCCGATGGAAATCAAATCAATCAATGGAAATATATGAGACAAATTAAGCGTATTAAGTATATTGAAAAAGAGTAACTGTGTAATTTCTAACAGGGACGGATCCAGCTTTAAAATCAGGGGGGGGTTATGTAGAAAAAATACAGTCTTCTGTTGTCTATGGAATTAGAAAAATTATCGTTGTTTTGTGCAAAGATGGCGTAAGATTATTGCAAAATTTCATGTTTTTCGTCCCGTTTTCGCTCATATCTCTGAGGCAAAATGAGCAAGAACGCTCATTTGTACATCATTCTAGACAGAAATAAATGGCCATTTTAGAAAGTGAACCATCGATAAGAAAATGTTGGCAGTTTTCTCAAAAAATGCTTGAATTCAAGAAGTTTTAAATTTGCGTGGTTTTTTTTTGTGCTGCAAAATCCACTTGAACATGACGCTGCTTTTTTCGAAGTTTCTCAAGAACCATTCGAGCCACAGAATTCATTTTGGCATCGTTGGATAGAGAAT